GCAGGCTCAAAACAAGCGTTTCTGTAATTTAATGCACAGTAAAACAGTAGGCTTCTAAAGTTTAAGTGAATTTAGAAAGTATTTAAATGCCTTCATGGAATGATTTATTTAGGAGATGCACACGCACACACAAAGTAAAGTTTTAAGCCTGAGCTACCTATCGCTAGAAGCTGGGCTGGTTTTCATATACTTGCAGTACTCTGGCCACTGTAGGATATGTGCTATTGGGCTAAAGGTATCTTTTGTCTGAAACAGTATAACTGCGATGTGCTGTGCTATCAGATTATAGGGCTTATTTGCTGCTTTTTTCCAGATTTTTATCTATTATTTTTAATGTGATGTGGGAAAAACACAAAAGTCTAGTGTAGCAATGGTAGAACAGCAGCTTAGCTGTGAGCTGAGATGACAAGAGGAAAAATAAGATAAAACAAGATTAATAAGGAATGTGCTGAACACTGCCACCTATGTTTCATCGATGTTGCATGTTGCAGCTTTAGCTCATTTTACTGATGTTGGATTGCAAATCAAAGTTAAAGTGTAAACTTTCTAACCGCTTTGCGGAGGAAAATGTGATAGGACTCTGACATTGCTAAGAGACTAAAGTTCAGAGCATACTTTACACCTTATATGTGTTGTGCAAAGTACAGTCCTGCTCTTTGGGGTAGAAACCCAAGACCTTCTTCCTTTCTTCTTAGTTTAAGTAACAGTGTTTGGTTCCTGGTGAAAAACCTTTTTCAGCTGCAGGAAAAATAACAATAAAGGGCTTCAGCAGATTGTAAGGTTCGAGCTGAAAATACCGAGCATATAGGTGGAAAATCACCGGTTCTAATAAGAAAATTCCAACAGGAGAGGGGGAAGAACAAGTGAGTGGAAGCAGATGCAACTGTGAGTAAGTGAGTGTGTAAGTGAGTATGTGTGAGAGTGCAGAGGCTTCGGTGCAGTTGTAATGCTTGCTAGTGCCAAGCTGTGTAACTAGAAAATGGAAATGCAGAATGAAAGAATGAAATGAATGCAAGAGGAATGAAAATAAATCATAATGCAGCTAGAAAATGGAAATGCAGAATGAAATGAATGAAAGAGGAATGAAAATAAATCATAATGCAAAGTCATACAGAAGAAATCATGATTTATTTTCCTTCTACACAAAGTTCTTCATACTCTTTAAATTTACTATGTACTCATGCAGTTGACACTTTTTTAAGAATGCGATGTGAAAATAATTACAACAAAAATAGTTTTAAGACCAACATCAAATCTATTGTGCATGTAAATCTCCATTGCACTATAATTACTTAGAGATGCTTCTTCTGGTTATAAGTATTTTTAACGCGAAGCATTTAGCAGTACTTGGGCCTCACACTAATTCTGTGGAATTAGGTAAGTGTGAACTCAAGAGTTTTTCATGGACTATGAAACAAAGAAGTTAGTCTATAGTGTAGAGCAAGCACTACCCTATGATTAAAACCCAGAAGCTGTGATTGTGTATTTGTTGATACAGTTTAGAAGTGGAAGAACAGCACTGTGAACCACTGTAAGAGTTTCCTAGAATTGCTTAACTGTGTGCTGTTGATTTCTAGTGTTGGCTTTGGATTAAAGGTGCCTCATACTGCCTTTCTTTATGGCACTTGTTGCAATTGAGGCAAATGTTACTAGCTATGAAAGGCAGTAGAGATGAAAATAGCTCTGAGGCAGAATGACCTCTAAAACAGATAAGGTCCAAAAGAAGAATTGCTGTTCTGATCTTGTTTATATTATCACATCTTCTGGCCTGACTCCCACAATGCTGCCCTGCCACCTTCTGCTCTTTCTCTCCTCTCCCCCACCAGGCTGTTACACTGATGAAAGCTTTTATGTTGTATCTGAAAGCACTTTGCAGTTATTCCCTGTTTCAGGAAAAACTTGCAGTTAGATAATGTCCATGTTGCAGGCTGTTAAGTTTGAAGCCAAGATAAACTGTTTTTGCACAAGTAAACTGCACCCATTGTAACTTATCAAACTCATAAATGCAAACCTTGGGCTACAATCTGTAACTTAATTTATAAAATGGAGTAGGTTTGTTTGCTTCATTACCAGAGGATTAGAAGGCTGATCTATTCACAAATGCATTTCAGACATTTAAACTGTGTGAGCTTCTCCCTGGAACTGTGAACTTTTACAGATCCCGCTAGCCCTTCCCAAGCAGTCTCGCTCCCCATCCCACCTAAATCACACCAGTTCCTTAGGGTAGAATATTTGACTAGCAGGGATGGAAACAGATTTGGTCCTTGAATGCAGTGTAAGGTTGCATCATCTTGTCTTGAGGCAAAACTCCCTTCAGATGAATGACTTCAGACTAGGGTCCCTGACTGGACTCAAATTCTAAGTAAGAATTCGTGTCTTCCATTGCATTGGAATATTCTGACTTTTGTACTGTTAAGGCTTAGTGTAGACTGCAATTATATAACTTAATCATTTGAAGGCTTGCAAAGCCAGAAAAGATAACAGCATCAGATTTCTACAAATCCTCATTTGCAGCAAGTCCAAAGCATTCGTCCCTAGTACTTAAGGATTGCAGAGGGATGTGCGTTTTAAGCATGGGTTTTTAAAATGCTTTCATAAAAGCTCTACCTCTGCCGCATCTGTTTGCCTTTTGCTATTAGGCTAGCAGTATGTTTGTCTTTGAAGTCCTTTTGTTTGCAAAGGTGTTAGTCATGCTTCATTAGTACTCTAGTCTGCGTGTTGCCATCTAAACTAAGTGCACATAGAATGTAGCATAATACGGAGCTTGTTCTTTATTACTAAATTAATGGTTTCTGATAAGTCTGTCTTCATAGAAGTCTGTATTGATCCTAGAAAATGGGGTGGACTAGATCACCACAATGCAAGGCAATGTAATAGCTGTGTGCCCTGGTAGAGAAAGGGAAAAAAGGAAATGAAATACAGTAGTGAAACAATGCTAATATTGGTGGCTATGCTCTAGAGACTTACAGGATGTTCAGAAGTGTTTTCCCTTTCAGAATTTCCTTTTGAAAGGAAATTTAAAAAAAGACGAAGGTTGCCTGAGTCAAATTTACAGCTGAGAGGGAGTCACTGTTCTGAGGGAAGGCCTGATTTATTTATTTTTATTTATTTATTTATTCGGAGACTGAATATATTCTAGGTTTTGCTGCAAATCCCCTGCAGGGAGAGTTCACAGGGAGCCTTAACAGATGAGGTTGTGATGCATACTGTCACAGAAATGTAGTTTTAGCTTTGTTCTGTGTGCCCTTATATTCTTGTCTGAATGAAATGTAAGTTTTGAGACTGCATCTAGCCAATTTTAAACTTCCAGGAAAGGTTTTAGATGTGAATAAGATCAATCCTGTTGATCTTGGTGCTAATAGGAAATGAATAAAGAGTAATTTCTATTCAGATGAAGGATTCTTTAAAATGTTTTCAGTGTAAGCACTCTGCATCTGTTAGGATGTCTTTTTCCTTAGGAAACAATGGTGGCTATAGAACTAATGAAATTGTGATGAGAGAAGTTAAGTGCTTAGAACTGATATAACTGAGAATAGGATTTTAGCCTCACTACTCCAAAGTTTTGCCTTAGCAATAATTTCAAGAAAAAGAAGAAAATCTATTTCAAATCCATACCTTCATCCATTAATGAATGCTGGAAGAATTCACTATATGTATACTTGGACATCCAGGAAATTCTCTAAAAATCCTGGGAATGACAGCTGCTGTTTATTTTCGTGATTGAAAAAGATCTTCCTCTGTTCTAAGGAGAGACAATCAGTTGGAGTCTCTCAAAGAAAGAGATTTGTGATCATCATCAACTACACTGCTAAGTTTGTAAACTAGAGTAGGCAGGAATTAAATTTATAGTACTTTAAAAATGGCTTTACCATTTATTAAAAGGCTAGTGTGTTCGCTTTTATTTGTATTTTAAAACTTCCTTTTTCTTTAAAGAAATATAGTCATTTACTATTTTCCTAATTCAAACTGTACTTTTTTTTTTCAAGGTTTTTAAAGTCAAAGAGAAGATAGGTGTTTTCAATCTTTTTTTTTTCTTCTTCCTGGAAGCATTGAGATTTAGTTAAAACCATACCAATAAGGATTTTCTGTTAAAATATTATGAAGAGTCACCAGTCTAAAGCTTTTCCACACACAAGTGTAAATATAAACACTTGCTGCACTACAAAATGCAGCACTTCATTATGAAAAATTAGGTAATTGAATAGAGGTGGAATTAATCTAATTAATCTGTAAAACTACTGATGTGCCACTCCTGTATCCATATTATTTTCCATGTCCTTCAGCTATTCTTTTGAGTGTATTTTGCAAGTAGATTTAAAAGGATACTATTTAAATAGTAATATTACATTTATATTTAGGAAATAAATCATAAGTCTTTTTCTTAATTTTCTTACTAGGTTTGCAGATGCTTTAATACTGCCTGGGTGCTGCCCTTAATTAGGATAAGTGCTGTATTTCTCCATGTCCTGATGAGTCACTGCCTTATAGTAGAAGAATTGGCTGACTGTAGGTCCTGAGAAACTTTGTAAAGAGGTAGGTCATTTCTCTGACACCTTTGGAAGATGAGGAACAACCTTCCTAATGCACTCTTCAAGCCCATAGCCTGGTGACTAATTGCAGGAGTCTTTAGATGGATAAGGTGTATTCTTGAAGGCAGTGCTTTTGATGAGGCCCAAGCTGTGTGGTATGCAGATTAGCAGACCTACTTCTTGTTGCTTCTCAGGGTGCAGGTGCATCCATAAGCACACATTGTTTATTTATTCTCACATATGCATGAGCTCTGTCCCAAGTCGTTAGGTGAGTTGCAACATGTAGTAATACTGTACTGCTTTCTTCTGTAGGCCAACTGCTGCAGTCAAGTGCAGGGAAGCTCTGCGTTGAACAAAGGTTTCTCAGTTTTGTGCCTCAGATGCATGGCTGTGTGTCTGCTTATTTAGGTAAACAGCAAAGACAAACTATGTGCTAGTACTTTAATATTATATAGCTGTCACTTAGTATAATATGCTCTTTTAAAACTAGTTAAAACGTTAGTTCTGCTGTTTTCAGAACATCCACGAGAAAATCTGTTCAGTTTGATTCATTGACACCCTAACCTGAAAAAATAGTTCTACAAATGTTTTCCAGTAATCACTCACCTTCTGAAAACTGCAAAAGCTCTATACCAAAATACAAGACTTGAGGATAGCATGAGAGTTGAACAGGGACATGAAAAGTACCATAGTGAATTTATAGTGTATATTACTGAGAAGAAATTGTCATGTTGCATGCAGTTGTGAACAAATGTGTGACACAGTGTTGATATTTATTGTTTTTCCATAGCAGAATATTTTATTGGATTTGCGATGCTGGCAATTGGGTTAGCAGTTAACATAGTTTTACTACAAGAAATTTTGTGTGAAATTAGCTCATAGCAGAATGCTACAGGAATTTAGGCAGTTAGTGGATGGTCCTATAATCTTTTTCTCAGCAGCTTGCCTTAATGGAATGGTATACATGTTCTACAAGATCACTGTGGGAGCCTCCTCCTACTACTACTATATTTTTATTTTAATTATTATTTTTGTTTATTCTTCGAAGCAGGATAATCCAGGCAAGTGCTGTAGTAACTATGAAGCTTTATCATCCTTCATCTTCGGGTGCCTGATTAAGTGTGACTCTGTGATTGGGATTTTAAATACCTAACTTGCCAGCAGCTCTCCAATTATCTCAATTACCTTTACCCAAGGAATGAATAGTATTTCCAGGTGTGCATCCTGTTGTTCACAGTTCCTCTGTTTTTTCTGGCATCATTCTTATATTAGTAGTTCTAATCAAGGCATTCTGTAGACTACTGACTGTCCCATGGTACCTTCTTAGTGTAGTGTAACATTGACAAAGCTTCTACATGCATTTTCTAACCCTTCCACTTTTACTCAATTTTAGGGATATTCAGATGCTTCACTTTTTAATGTAAGGAGATGTATTCTTGAGGAAGTAATACCTTCTTTTGCTTTTTTTTCAGAGTAAAAAAAGAACCTGTCTCCCTCTACTGGCTTTAGGAGAAAAAAGTTGAGAGATACAATAAGTTCTAGCTAAGATAACAATATAAATTATTAAATATTCCAGATTAAGGCTTAAAAAATGTTCACTTTACATAATCACCATGAGAACATGGGAACTACATTAAAACTAATAGTTGAAAGATACATGAATCTTCTGGCTTTCCTGAACAGCAGTCTAATATTGGCATCGTAAGTGTATACAAATACTTTTTCTTCATTAGTAGGCAAGTTAGTCTCTTTTACTTCATATTTCACATTAAGATGCTTCAAGCAAACTTGTCTGTACTTATTTACAGCTTATAAGGCTTCTGAAGGCCATGCCTACAAGATTATGATAACTGCAGAGGGTTTCCTTCAATTTCCCTGGGGCTGCAGTGTTGAAGCTAGTAGGCTCCGTGCTCTTGTCTAGTCTGGCCCTAGAGCTGCCTGCTATACCCTGGGCCCCTGCTATGAAATCCTTGCTTTCCCTGCAGGGCAGCTGTAAGTCATCCCATGCCCTGTGCCCAGGAGAGCATATCTGTAGGATGGGTGTGAATTTTGTCTTACTGTCCTCATTCTTGTGAACAAATATTTGGGACTATCCCTTTTTTTTTTTAAAAAAAAAAAGGGGATGCACTGCACTAAATAGGAACCAAAGTGCAATGGAGCTGTATATTTGGAGTTTTACTAAACTGCATTTCTTTTTAATTTTCAGTTCTGTGGTCTAGCAGTTCTGAGCAAGTCAGCAGGATGTCAAGGATCTGACCACCACCTACTTCTGCACTGTGTCTGTGTACTGGTATCTGTAGTAAGGTTTTTGTCCTTAGTACAATATGGTCTGTCCTCCTGGTTTCAGAGGAAACACATTTGTCCTTGAATAATCCATGTTCTCTGCTAACAATTTTTCTTTCATGAAATTTACCCTTTAACAATAGACAGAGTTGATTCCTTCCAATATTTAAAGGCAAGTAGCAATTCTCATAGTACAATTATGGCATTGATCTGTGAAATTGCGAGGCTTACATAAATGTATCTTAGGTTGAGAAGAAAGTTAAGGCAGTAAAAGATTTTGACTTCCCTTGTGTTAGAGCCACCACAACACATATGTCATATTCTGTTATACATATATATATGTATAGTTGTCCTTTTGGTCTTGGAACATGTCAAGTTTCATATCATAAGTGTTTTTCTAAAAGCTGTCTGCCAGCTGCAGATTATCAGACTTTGAGTTAATACCAGTAGTTGTGTAGTTAGTTGCACAAGTTTATTAGACTTTTGCATATGTTATTTTGGAACTCTTTTGTGAAATCTTGGCTGAGTATCAGGGTTAGTGAGCACTTGCTTTACCAAATACAAGAAAACATTCTCTCATTGTAATGTACAGTTTAAATTTTAATAAAAGTCAATATGTGGATTTTAATGCTTGCAACACATGCTACACATTGTTCTTACAAAACAAATCCCTATAAAAAAATCTGAAAATTCATGGAGCAACTACAGAATTTGGCCAATGTTTCACAGAGAGCATATATAGTAACAGGGCAGTGAGACTGCTATGACATGCAAGTGGTGTATTGTATTTACACAAGCATATTACTTCCTGTATAAGAAATGCTTTAAAACTGACATCATGTTTTCATGTGGGAATGTGTAACTTGTAATTATCCATTCCAGGTCTGCAGGCTATGTCACTGTTCCCTTCATCAACTCAAACTATGGGATAGTGCTGTTTTTACCTACAAGTTTGGCTTTGAATGCCAAGTAGTTATCTCCCCAGAAGCAGAACTGTTTTGGTGACCTGTCAGTAAAATCCAGGCTATGAAGAATGAATACCACCTGGAGTCTGATGCACAAATATTCTTTCTAAAAGTTGCATGGCACTGTTGCTTGAGAGTGCACCAAAACCAGCATATATTTAATGTGAAGGTAACTGGGAAACTGTGAAAGCAGAGGCAAAAATACTGGTTTTAGAGTTGCCCTTCAGTTTAAGGAGTAAAAGTGAAGGAAGAAACAGTGTGATACAAGGAACTCAGTATCTATATAACATAAAGCATCAAAAAATTAGGGAAAATAGAATTGGTAATAAATCAGTAAAAGTGATGAGCTGAAGCTATAGAAATATGTGCTTAATATCAGAAAAAATGCCTGACTGGAAGGAAATAGTATTGAAGGAAAGTCACAGAAGCTTCTTACTACAAAACTTAAAGACTGGTAGATTTCATAATAGCCTATTGAAAGCAGTTCTGTACTATGTAGAATGAATCAAATGATCTATCCTGTCTCAACTTATGATTCATATTTGACCCAGTCACAGACTGTCATATATTGGCTAGTATTGTTATGAGGGATATTAGTCAATCATGGTCATGCATATTGTAGACCCTGTTGGATAGGGCAGCAGCTTTTTTATTTAATCTGAGCAGATTAATGCTCCTTTCAGTCATGGATGAAACGAAGGGAGAGGGGAAAAAACCAAACAAACAAAAAACCATCAAGCTGTCCAAGGGCTAAACCCAGTGGTCAGTGACAAGGAAATCTAATCCAGAGTAATTTAATATGACCCTGGTGTGAGAGGAAAAGCAGCTCAGAACACAATAGAAAAGATGGCCAGGAAACATAACAGCTGGGGGAAAACAAACAAACAAACAAAACCTTAAAATGCAGTGCTAAAGAAGGTATATTTTATAACCTTCTTTCTAGAAAGCAGCCTGGACATTGAGGGCAAAGTACATGCTTTCTGTTGATGCTCCATTCTCTAATCATGGATCAGAATTTTATGCTTATTGATTTCTAAATGATAGAAGGCTTTAGTTCCTTTGCTCAATACCTAGCAATCTGAAAATGTATTTAACATTTTAGCTGCCTTTTTGATCAGTCAGTAAGAGCTTTGGTAGTGCTTTTGGTCTGTGCCTGTGCTCCTTTTGCAGGAGTGCATTTTGTATCAGCCCTTGAGGCACTGATTGCACTAACTGCAGTCACCTGCAAGGCTGACCCATCTTTGACTCTAGTAATGCTAGATGAGGATTTATTCTATAGAAACTGGTGAGAGGATAAAATACTGGGTGTTTATACAAGGATTTGCATAGAAAATGTTGCTCATGGCAGTAATTATAACTTACTAAGCTATTCATATTGTAGTGTCCAGACTGGCAGTTCCATTTTATATTTTTCAGGTCTTCAGTGTATTTAAATGACTGAATAGCATACCATAACTGGCATCATTCAGTTGTGGTAAGTAGCACTCTGAAGTGCAAGGAATATAAGGTTCTCCCTAGAATTCTTTTGCCCCTAGATTAAAAGCAGAGTTGCTTGTAAATGCTTATTACAGTTGTGTGTTTTTTCTCTTTCTCTTATGAAAGGCCCCTTGTCTAAGCTCAGCGTCTGCCCTGTGTAATACTTCTGCCCTGTGACAGCCCCCTGCTCCACCGAAGCTGGTGGGGAGGTCAGAGCTAAGTGTGGCCTCTGGGGCATCTGGCGAGAGCCATCTCATTCGGCTGGGGCAGCCGAGCTGCTTCCCAAATGACGTTGGGCCAAACGCTCTTTAAGGAACGCGCTGTTCCTTACCCCGGCATCGCAAGGCGGCAAGTGACGAACATCCGCGTTGGCGCAGCCCATGGCCGCCTGCGCCCCGCCGCTGGGGCAGG